AGAGGAAGAGGAAGAGGAAGAGGAAGAGGAAGAGGAAGAGGAAGAGGAGGAAGAAGGAAGCAGAGGAGGGGGAGGAGGGGAGGAGGGTGGCAGCTTCTGAGCCTCCAATTCTTCTGCCAAGTGATGCATTTCAAGAGCCACAGATCAACTGTGGAGAAGCTGGTGCTCACACAGATTCAAGCTGTGTGCAGCTCATTAGCTGACCTGTGCCACCTGCCCTCCTTGCCAGATGTTACCGAAGCACCAGGGAGCCAGCCGATCTATTTTGAGGCTGCTGTTTTATTCAAATGCTCACACAGAGCCAAAACAGAAGTGGCCTTTCTAGCAGCTGCTCAGAAGACCCGAGTTGCCCGGAGGCATTTCTCCAAGCAACAGGGAGCCCTTTTCAAGAGGTGGAGAGGTTACATTTGGTATGCCACACAGCCTCTTTGGCCAGCAACAGGTGACCATGGAGGAGATGTGCCACATACTGTGAATGCCAACAGCCTCTGTTCAGACCTTTTTCGACTAAGAATGCGAAGCAGCCCATTGAGGACCTGCGTTCTCCAGCTCTTCAATGCCAATCAGCAATCACAATAAAGTTAATAGATCAGCTGGGGACATGCCTTTTATTTCGGATGCTCAGAAGTGAGTTTCTTTGCTATTTAAATCTAAGGCAAAGAGTGGCAGCTCAAGGCTGGTGGGCTTTTGTGGACACCCCAATCTCTGAGTGGTAGAATAGAAATGGAGAAGACAAGATCTGTAGAGATTCTCCGTCATCCAGGTCATAATTGTCCCAAAGGTGCTTTTTTCAGGAGGCAATTGGACTTTCTTGTTTTTTCTCTCGAAGACATCTCGCTTCTCATCCAAGAAGCTGCTTCAGCTCTGAGAGAATAGTGGGGAATGGAAGGATTTATACTCCTTGCAGACAGCTGGTCATTTGCATCCTTTTAGAGCAGTGTTTCTCAACCTTGGCAACTTGAAGTCCTGTGGACTTCAAGTCGCCAAGGTTGAGAAACACTGTTTTAGAGGGTCGTTGAGCCACCTGGAGGTTTATCTGTGTCCTTGGGGTCACCTGAGTGGTGCAAATGGTTCCCGTAGTCTGTATATAAATCCTTCCATTCTCCAATATCCTGTCAGAGCTGATGAAGCTTCTTGTATGAAAAATGAAACGTCTTCAAAAGAAAAAGAACAAGAAAGTCCAGTTGTCTCCTGAAAAAGCCCCTTTGGGACAACTGGATGACTAAAAATCTCTACAGACTTTTAGCTATACAATTTGGGATGAAGACCCTTGGAATGGTGTGTGAGTATGGACAGATTTCCAAAGAAAAAAATTGCAGACTACAGGAACCGAGGTGTGTGTGTGTGGGGGGGGGAGTTTTTGCCCTCCCCAGGCTCCAGAGGCTCCCAGAGCCTCCGCATGGCCCTGCTCTTACCTCACATCCAAAATGGGCCATGTGGAGACTCCTGGGAGGGGAGGGGAGGGGAGGGCAGGGGAGGGGGTGTGGCAGGGTCAATTGATTCTTGCAACAACCGGTTCGGTGAACTGGATGCAAAATTAACATCTGGTTCTGCCGAACCATTGCGAACTGGCTGAATCCCACCCCTGCAAAAGCCTCATCTTGTGTCAGTCACAAAGGTGTCAGGCCTGGAAGCCATCTTTTACACTGGGCCTTCAGGCCTGCTACATTTTCAAGTGGGGGAAACTGGGAGGTGGAGTTATATGGAGTATGGGAGATATATAGTCATAATCGCATTCCTTTCTCAGAGTTAAGGATACCTTGCCCTGTAATTGATGTCATAATTGCAGGTAGGATTGTATTTGCCCAAAATTGGAAAAATGAAGATATCCCTATGGATGAGGATGTGATTAGGAAAATATTGGGATGTGCAGAAATGAATAGGTTAACATTTGAAATTAAAGAGAAGGAACTATCTGATTATTACAATATAATTATTTTATCCATGGTTAGAGAATAAATATGAAAAGTGGAAGAAAGCAAAGGAGTAAAATAAGGGATAATGTTTTAACAAAGCTAAATAAGTTAAGAAGAGGATTGTTACAGTATTAGGTATGGTATATATTAATATTAAGTTAAGAATAGATAAAATAATAAATATGGATGTAATTTGTAATTGTTGTTGTATAAAATATTTGCACACAATATATGTGTACCCAGATGACACACTGCTTAATGGAAGATGATGTTTGAATTAAAATAAAATGAAAATTTTATTTAAAAGAAAGGACTTGGACTTTCTTTTGGGTGGGGAAAACCTGGAGCCTTTCAGATTCAGGTTTTCCCAGATGTGCCAATATGACATCTCTAATAAAATGGGACTTTGAGGAACTCAAGCCTCGGAGTTTTCTTTCATTGGGGGTCTTACTTGGAACCCTGGCAAAATGGTTTCTCGTAACCTACTTTTATACCGGCAATCTAGCAACAAGTTTGTATTCACGTAGGGATTGTGCAATGCCCAAAGGGAGAATTTTGCTTTGTAGTCAAGTTCCACTTCCTCCTAAGTATCATTTCTTCCCCTCTCTGCTTCAACACATCCGAATTTTAATGAAGGTTTAATGAGGGGCCTTGATTAAGTGAAGGCAACACAATTAGCTAATGTGGCCTTGGGAAACCAAACATTAAGGAAGAGATTAACAGCCCCCACCCCCCCCCCGGCATGCTTTGTGCAAGAGAAGGGGTCATAAAGACTTGGATTGAGAGTGTGCTGGTCAGGGGTGGGATTCATCCATTTTCCTCCTTCGTTTACAGTCCAGGCACTTTCTCAAAGCAATGCTAAGGAGTCAGAAAGGTCAGGAGGGCCCTCCTCCAATTCAGATTTCGATGCAAATTCTGCACAGTTCACATGTTCGAAGGCATCCTTCATGGTGAAATCTGTCCTCTCACACCAAAGGAATGTGATTTGGGGAGGATCAAAATAATGGGGTTTAAAAACATATACAGTATATTAATGGAAAATGCAGGCCAAAGGATGGGGTGAGATGAATGGTTGCTCAAGAAGAAAAGATAAGNGTATATACCGCTTCCCAGTGCTTTTACAACCCTCTCTAAGAGGTTTTACAGAGTCAGCCTCTTGCCCCCAACAATCTGGCTCCTCATTTTACCCACCTCGGAAGGATGAAAGGCTGAGTCAACCTTGCGCCTCGTGAAATATTAACAGAGCTAGTAAGCTATTGTTCTAATGTAATTCTTTAATATTAGAATTCTAATAAACTCTATGGTCATTTGCTTTTTTTTAAAAAAAAAGTTGCTGATAACAAAAACTGCTCCATGTGGAAACATCCCATTAGACAATTCAACATTTAAGGTTGATGTAGAAGATGGCCAGACTGAGCCAGAGGGATGGGTCAAGCCATGTCATCAGTCTCGAGTGCCTTCGTGCCCATCAGAGATTCCGCTGACTCGGAATACCATCCCAAGGAAATATCTGAAGGAGACACCTACAACAATAGAAAAAGAAAGGGAGAGAGTAGGAGAGAAGGAAAGGAAGACGGGGGAAAGAAGAAAGAGGCAAGGAGAGGAGGATGGAAGGGAGAGGAGGAGAAGGAGAGGGGGTAGGGAGGGGAAGAGGAAGAGTAGGAGAAAGGTAAGGGAAGAAGGAAGGGGAAGGAGCAGAGGAAGGAAGAACGTAGGGAGCTAGGTAGAAGAGAAAGGGAAAATAAGGTGGTGTCACAACAGGAGGAAGGGATGGTAACTAAAGCAACCCAAACTGTATATTATAACCTATTAAATGAAATAATAAATGTATAAGAATGACAAATGTAAAGGAGAAGAAGAATTATGTTAATATATACTTAAAATGGTATGTAAGAGAACAAAAATTAAAAAATTCTATTCCCCCCCCCACCAAAAAAAAAGAGAGATTCTGCTAACTCTTGTCTGCAGGCCACCTTGAATTCCACTGACTCTTATCCACCGCCCATTTGCTTTGACCGTTAGTAGTTCAGATTCTTGTAGAGAGCGTTAACAGGCGATGAACCTTTATATTCATTCGAACCCCTTGGGTTCCCGATTCCAGCTACAATCGATCTCCAACGATTAAGCACAGATGTCATTGCCAATAGATTTATTACCCCTGGGGATTTTTCTTCTTCCAGTTCACCAGAACAAAATCCGTGTGGACCAGGATTGGAGGCAGACTTAGCATTTCAGAGACTTCTCCAAAAGGGATGGCCAGGTTTCGTGGCAAGATCTGAAAGACAAGACCAGCAGGTCAACCCCAGCTCTCCCGTGTCCATGTCTTACTGGGTTTAAGTAGAGTTCCAGATGGTTAGAAGAAGAAGAAAGTGCCTATGGAGATTCTCCGTCATGCAGGTCATGGTTGTCCCACAGGTGCTTTTTTTCAAGAGACAACTGGACTTTCTTGGTTTTTCTTTGAGGACGTTTCGCTTCTCATCCAAGAAGCTCTGACTGGATGTGGAATGATCTACACTCCTTGCAGACAGCAGGGCATTTGCATTCTTTTTGTGGGCCGTTAAGGTCACCTGAAGGTTTAGCTGTGTCCTCAGGGTCACCTGCATGGTGCAAATGGGTGTGGAGCTTTCTTGGAACTGTTGAACAGTCCTGTCGACAGTTCCAAGAAGGCTGCACACTAGTGGGGGGTTCCAGATCCCGGTGCAACCGATACGGTGCAATGGGGCCCGGGGTCCACCACATGAACGTGCACAGCATGTACATAAACGCGCGCAGCACACACATGCGTTCTTACCTCTTGCAACATCTCCGCAAGCCTCAGCGACGCTCCAGCTGCTGGGCGGAGCATGGCGCAGGTGCCGTGCACTCTGTACGCAGAAGCGCCAAAGAGCTCAAATACAGGAAAGGAGCTCAGGTGGGCGGGTGGGCCCTCCGGAGCACTGTACTGGAATGGTACCCGGTGCTCCAGGCAGGCACTGGTATGCCCGTACCGGAACGTACCCTCTGCAACTCACCACTGCAACTCATTTGCACCAGGGGTGGGTTGCTTCTGGCATTACTGCCGGTTTGGTGTGCTCAAAAATGTTGCACTCTTGCTTCACTCGCTCGCACATTTGCACAAAAATAGGTCTGCCCATGTGCAAAACATTAAAAAGAGAAAATAAATAAATTTGTGCAATTATAATTGTTCTGCGCATGCGCAGAACCAAAAATCAAGATGGTGGCCCCATTGGAGAACTGTTTCGGGGGTGTGGCAGGCCTGTGTCGCTGCCGGTTCCAGAGACCCAGGCTGCCAAACCACTACCGGTTCAACTGAACCAGTCCAAACCCACCTCTGATTTGCCAACCTTTTTGTCGTCCTGTGCCGAAAGCGCACATGCATAATGCAATGTGCGCATTACAATACGCCCTTCCCCATGCACATGTATGTGCCACACACCCACACACACAGATGTGTGTTCAAACCCACCCACCCCGCACGCCTCGTTTTGGGCCTAGCATGGCTCCCTGCAGCCTCCTGGAACCAAAAACAAAGCACAGGGGGTGCACTGCTCCCCCGCCCCCTGTCCCTACACGTGCGCCCCCCATATGCATCAGCTAGCGTGGCAGTGACCCAAAGATCAGCTGGCCAGTGAGAGGGGGGCCAAGCATGCACTATAGAGTTGAGCTGGGGTGATGGTTCGCCTGCCCACAGAGAGGGTTCCATGTTCCACATGTGCCACGTGTGGCATATGTTCGCCATCACAGCGCTAAAAGGATGCAAATATCCAGCTGTCTTCAAGGAGTATCAATCCTTCCATTCCCCCACATCCAGTCAGAGCTGAAGAAGCTTCTTGGATGAAAAGCAAAACGTCTTCAAATGAAAAGTTCAGTTGCCTTCTGAAAAAGCACCATTGGGACAACCATGACCTGGAAGACTGAGAATCTCTACAGACTTTTAGCCATACAATTTGGGATGAAGAACCTTTGAATGGTGTGGGAGTAGGAACGGATTTCCAGAGGGGGAAAAACTGCAGATTACAGGAACCATTTGCACCACTCAGGTGACCCTGAGGACACAGATAAACCTCCAAGTGGCCTCAACAACTCTCTAAAAGGATGCAAATGTCCAGCTGTCTGCAAGGAATATAAACCCTTCCATTCCCCACCATCCAGTCAAAGCTGAAGAAGCTTCTTGGATGAGAAGCGAAACGTCTTCAAAAGAAAAACCTAGAAAGTCCAGTCGCCTCTTGAAATAAAAGCAACTTTGGGACAAAAAGTTAAAAAAAATGTAAGTCCCTATTGCCCAATGTTAGACTAAAAGCACTGAAGAAGACTACAAGCAGACCTTAACTTTGAACCATTTGTTTAGCGCCCATTTCAAAGTTATAACAACAAAAAAGTGACTTATAACTGCTCCTTGCACCTATGACCGTTGCTGCATCCCCATAGTCACAGGATCACATTTGGGCACTTGGCAAACCGGCATTATTTAATTGTGGCATTTGTAGGGTGGCACCATTGCATCTGGGTTTACCCTTTGCATCCTCCTGGTTTCCTGCAGATACCACTGGGCCAAATCACGCTTAAGAAAGACCAACAGTCTCAAGTACGGGCTAATATACCTTGGGGACCTCTTTTTCGCCTTCCTGCCAGACGTAGCCCATCGTGATGAAACTGAGGACCAGGTGGGCCAAATAGAGTTCTCGGTGGCCTTGGAGGTACTGGCAGCTTAGTAGAGGCATCTGTTGAAAGAGAAAAATCGTTAAAGAAAAATAATATTGTTATTAATGGGTTTCATCCCACCACCATGTCCCTCCCTCCCTCATAGAACAGAACAATAAAGTTGGAAGGGACCTTGGAGATCTTCTAGTCCAATTCCCTGCCCAAGCAGGTGACCTATACCATTTCAGACAAATGGTTGTCCAGTCTCTTCTTGAAAGCCTCCAGTGATTCCTTTCCTTCCTTTCCTTCTTTCTTTTCTTCCTTTTCTTCCTTTCCTTTCCTTCCCTTCTTTCATCTCCTTCCTTCCTTTCCTTCCTTTCCTTCCTTTCCTCTCTTTCCTTCCTTTCCTTCCTTTCCTTCCTTTCCTTCTTTCCCTTCCCTTCTTCCTTATCCTTTCTTTCCTTCCTTCCCTTCCCTTCTTCTCCTTTTTTCTTCCTTTCCTTCCTTTCCTTCCTTCCCTTCCCTTCTTTCTTCTCCTTTCTTTACTTCCTTTTGTGCACTTCTTCTTTCTCCTTCCATCCCTTCCTTCCCCTTCTTCTCCTTCCTTTCCTTCCTTTCCTTCTTCCTTCTCCTTCCATCCTTTCTTTCCTTCCCATCCCTTCTTCCTTCTCCTTCCTTTTTTCCCCTTCCTTTCCCTTCCTTCCTTCCTTCCTTCCACTAAAGACTATTCTATTAAGAATAAATACATAAAAGCAGTTTTTCATACCATCTGAACCCTTTTTTACACAATTGAATACTTTCTCCTGTGGAAGACATCTGATCAATAAACTCATTCCATTTCTATTTAACTTTGATAAGTTTGCCATTTTCATTCCGACATAACGCCTGCAAAACTCCCATTTTTCTCCGGCGAATCACAACGCAACAGCTGCTGAGGGCTAGGAAGCCACAATCCTGTGCATTTAGCACCCGATTTCTGCAGTTGGAGTGAAGATGGTGGTGTGTAAATCAGCCATCATACATCAAACACTAGAAAGGAAATCACTGATCACACCTCATTATCTAGTGCAACCCTTAAGAATGGTTGAAAAGGAAAGAAACAAAGAGGAAGGGAAGCATACAGTAGAGATTGCTGCATGGGTAGTCCTTAACAACACTTCATTTAGTGACCATTCAAAGCTAAAACAGCACTGGAAAAAGTGACTTATGACTATATGTCACACTGTGCTTCGAACTCCTGGCAGTGGGCAGAGTTAGCCTGCAATACAGCACTCTAACGCCACTGTAGCTCCTGCACATGGCCTATTAAAACATGAATAAGGTAACTTCAAGTGTGGGTTGGCTATATGTTGTTCCCAGTTCAGCTACATGGATATGAGAGCTATTACCCGTTAGGAATGAGACTAAGGTAAAGGTAAAGGTTCCCCTTACACATACGTGATAGTTGTTCCCGACTCTCAAAGCTGAAGAGCCAGCACAGTCCGAAGACGTCTCCGTGGTCATATGGCCAGCATGACTAAATGTCAAAGGTGCATGGAACGCTGTTCCCTTCCTACCAAAGGTGGTCCCTATTTTTCTACTTGCATTTTTTACATGCTTTTGAACTGCTAGGTTGGCAGAAGCTGAGACAAGTAACAGGAGCTCACTCCGTTACACAGTGCTAGGGAGTCGAATTGCCAAACTGCCAACCTTTCTGATCGACAGGTTCAGAGTCTTAGCCACTGAGCCACTTAGTCCCTAGTCCTAGTCCCTTAGAAATGAGACTATGAAACAGTAATGAGGCATTGGTACTGCTACTGCTTCACAAAAAGCAAGCTAGCACAGAAAAACCGAGAAGAAATGGGCAAGAGATTTGCTGTGCCACATTGCCCTGTTTCAAAAAGAGTGTTTGCTGGAACTCTTTTACCTTTATCATCCCTTCTCATCAATATTATTGATTATTGAGTACTAAATTCTTAATACAATACAATACAATAGCAGAGTTGGAAGGGACCTTGGAGGTCTTCTAGTCCAACCCCCTGCCTCGACAAGAAAACCTATACCATTTCAGACAAATGGCTATCCAACATCTTCTTAAAGACGTCCAGTGTTGGACCATTCACAACTTCTGGAGGCAAGTTGTTCCACTGATTAATTGTTNGAAGGAAGGAAGGAAGGAAGGAAGGAAGGAAGGAAGGAAGGAAGAAGGAAAGAGATAGAGAGAAAGGGGAAAGGCAAAGGAAGTTTAGTCTTGAGATACCCCTTCCAAAGAGGGAGGGAGGGAGGGAGGAGAGAGAAAGTGGAAAAGAGGAAGTTGGTTTAGTCCTGAGATACCCTTCCAAAGAGGGAGGGAGGAGGGAGGAAGGAAGGAAAGAGAGAGAGAGAAAGGAGAAAGAAGAAGGAAGTTTAGTCCTGAAATACCCTTCCCAAAGAGGGAGGTACGAAGGGAGGATAATCCTGAGCTATCCCCGCTTCCCAAACAGATAAGGAGCTTTGTAGCCTTATGTATCACTTCAGAATAAATTCTCTGAAAATTGTGAAAAGGAATAGTACATCCCAAAGGAAAATGGTAGGAACCCTTGTTTGCCATGTCTAATCAGTACAGATGTTTGGGTTAGTTCTTAGAGAACAAAGAAAGCCCCCAAGTCAGTTGGCACTGTGGGTTTTCTCAATATCAACAGTTGCTCCTCTCTACGGTTCTCCTTGGAAAATGCTTTTTAAAACCAAGGAATGTAGCTGTACTTACCCAGAAAAAAATATTCTTGTCACTCCATAAAAGACTGAAGGATCCACATAATCTAGGAATCAGAGCACATAAAGATCAGGTCAGTTTGCTGGATATACTTAATAAGTGCAAGGTTAAGTATGAATGTAACATTTTACACTTACACAAGAAGAACCAAGTGCATAAATACAGAATAGGTGGCACATGGCTCAACAGCAATGCTGTGAGATAGAGAGTGCAGAGAAGAGCAACGAAGATAATTTCAGGGGTCTGGAGGTTAAAACATATGATGAACAGTTGCAAGAATTGGGTATGTCTAGTTTAATAGAGAGAAGGACTAGGAGAAACATGATGGCAGTGTTCCAATATCTCAGGGGTTGCCACAAAGAAGAGGGGGGGGGGTCAAACTATTCTCCAAAGCACCTGAGTGTAGAACAAGAAGCAATGGGTGGAAACTAATCAAGGAGAGAAGCAACTTTAAACTGAGGAGAAATTTCCTGACAGTGAGAACAATTAACCAGGGGAACGACTTGCCTCCTGAAATTATCTTCGTTGCTCTTCTCTGCACTCTCTATCTCACAGCATTGCTGTTGAGCCATGTGCCACCTGTTCTGTATTTATGCACTTGGTTCTTCTTGTGTAAGTGTAAAATGTTACATTCATACTTAACCTTGCACTT